TTGGACGTCAAGTGTGAGGCAAGAATGCATGTATGGATGTGAAGATAACATAGATGCGTGGGTTGGTAGATTGGACGTCAAGTGTGAGGCAAGAATGCATGTATGGATGTGAAGATAACATAGATGCGTGGGTTGGTAGATTGGACGTCAAGTGTGAGGCAAGAATGCATGTATGGATGTGAAGATGACATAGATGCGTGGGTTGGTAGATTGGACGTCAAGTGTGAGGCAAGAATGCATGTATGGATGTGAAGATAACATAGATGCGTGGGTTGGTAGATTGGACGTCAAGTGTGAGGCAAGAATGCATGTATGGATGTGAAGATGACATAGATGCGTGGGTTGGTAGATTGGACGTCAAGTGTGAGGCAAGAATGCATGTATGGATGTGAAGATAACATAGATGCGTGGGTTGGTAGATTGGACGTCAAGTGTGAGGCAAGAATGCATGTATGGATGTGAAGATAGCATAGATGCGTGTATGGATGTGAAGATAACATAGATGCGTGGGTTGGTAGATGGATTTGTTTTTGTATGTTTTTTTGTTGTTGTTGTTTTTTTGTGTGGATGCAAGCGTGCGTGCTAGTGTGTGTCATGTGTGTTAGTGTGTGTCGTGTATGTGTCATGCGTGCTAGTGTGTGACTTTCCCTTTTGGCACATCTTTGGTCTAACGTCAAACAAATGAAATAACTTCTTGATGATGGAAGTATTTTCTACACAATTAATTTTTTTTAAATCGTCTTATTTTAGGTGCTGCCATTCTTTTATGAGACAAAGAATATTTTTGGAATAATCCATGTCGCGACCTGCGCTCATTTGGAGCTCCAGGCACATGCTCTCGATAGATTAGAAAGATTAATACTCGCAAAGGATGCTCTACAGATCACAACTATAAAATATTTGGTACGTATATATTTTCAATTTGATGTTAAATCAAATATTGGCTCTATTTGTAGATGTCTGAGCCATCATTGGTACTCGGATTTAAATTCCTAACAACAAGAGCCGTCACGTGAGCCCAGCAACAACGGTGGCTGCAGAGGGCCCCGTGTATAGTAAAGGGCCCGAATCCACGTAATGACTCTATTAAAAATATTGATACGATAGGGTCACTATATGGTCATTATAGGGTCACTACAGGGTCACTATAGGGTCACTACAGAGTCACTACAGAGTCACTACAGGGTCATTATAGGGTCACTACAGGGTTACTACAGGGT